TTCAACACTTTTTGCTCATAAGCTCTTCAAGCTTTTGCTTAAGAAAAGAACTTTGCTCAAAGGCTGAATTGCATGTCTCGCTCTCTCTGTTTATTTCTCTCTCTCCTTCTAACTATCTTTCTATCTGTGTCATTCACACTTTCTCTTATAGTTTCTCTCTCTCTCTCTCTCTTCTTCTTCTTCTTCTTCTTCTTCTTCTTCTTCTTCTTCTCTCTCTCTCTCTCTCTCTCTCTCTCTCTCTCTCTCTCCCTCCCTCCCTCCCTCTCTCTCTCTCTCTCTCTCTCTCTCTCTCTCTCCCTCTCCCTCCCTCCCTCCCTCTCTCTCTCTCTCTCTCTCTCTCTCTCTCTCTCTCTCTCTCTCTCTCTCTCTCTCTCTCTCTCTCCCTCCCTCCCTCTCTCTCTCTCTCTGTCTCTCTCTCTGTCTCTCTCTCACTACGGCTGTTGTAACGATGTATAACTTATCTCTGTAGACTCAACTTTTTCACCAATATTTCTAGACGAAACTTCTCTGAGAATCTTGCCTGGACAGTGTGTAGCCGATGTAACGTATTTCAGTGTCTTATATATAATGTTGTGGAGTGATCAGCCTACTTACCAGTAGACGTCGACTTTCGCCTTCTGCTCATCCCCTGATTACACTTTCCATTGCAATGTTAGCAGGCGGTGCAATGGACCTGTTGGTTTTGCAAGACTAAATGAGAGATAAAAAGAGAAAGTCATTATTATGAAAACTGAGTACCGAAGAGCCTGGTTACATTGCATGTGGCAAGTTATTTTCCCCTCAACGACTTGGCTTTGATTACATGCTTTTTGACCACCTTTGGACGAGCTTAAGCCAGCTGCGTATGATATGCCACTAAAATAAAGACAAAAGCAAAGCGAAAACAGACATGTGTGCTGACAATGTCTGTAGCCAAACGATGATAACATAGTTCCCCCCAAAAGAGACGCATTCTGAAGGTGATCAAATACTTTGTAAATAAAGTCTACGATTCCACCATGTAAGTACTACTGTTTGTGCTGTATGAGGTGGACCTGAATGTCTAAAGAAACTTTCTCTTGATTTTTCCACCTACAACATTGTCACGTCCTGTTCGAAAACGCAACAATTGGGCATCTTACAGCGTTTGATAGAGGTACTGTGTAGTCTCATATATAGCTTTTTTATATTAACTTTAAAAAAGCGAAATACCATAAAAAAACGAAACTGAAATGTCTGTTTGTGATGCTCTTTCCTATTCTGAAATCAATCACTTATCGAAGACACACAGTGGAATAGAGATCGAAGACGTAAAATGATATCCGTATTTGATCACAAAACGATCAAAGCATGAAACGGAAGCCCCAGCTCCACCACGAACAGATATTTCACGCTGCATGACCTTAATAGGGGAAAAAATGTGTTATGTTTTAGTGCTCTTGTTCCTTGGCTTCACCGTGACGGGAGCCAAGTACATAGGCTGTCTAACACGCGTGTTTCTGTGTCAATGTTATGTGTCTGACCATTCATGCATGCAGATCCTACTACGCTGCACATTTTCTTCTTTTTTTTAATATATTTTGGTATGTAATGAAATGATTTGATTAGATATGCCATCATGTATTCGTGATGGGTAGGAGTTTTACCAATATATTTTTGTTCCTTTTTTGTAGCCTAGGGAGGAATGCAAGATCCGTTTTAGATGCGCATATATATGTATACATATATACACGTGTGTGCGTGTGTGTGTATATATATGCACATATCCCCATTTTGCATTAGACAGGGAAGAGCTAATGGATGAGAGGAATGACTTCATAAGGCATTTGTCTGTCATGCAGTATGAAGCACTGCATATCTTTGTTTGATTTTCTTTCGTTTTCCTTCATACATCAGAACCCCTGTTATGTAACACAGTACGTAAGACACCTGCCTCTTAAAGGACAGAGTCTTACATCCTCACTTGATTGGGATAGTTGAGTACCCTATTTAATCACTTTATGCACAATATATTCTCCTTCCTTTTTGGCCAAGTAATTTCTTTCCAATTATTAGAACATTTTCCAAAGTCAAAAATCATTTCCCCCATGGAGACTTGAAGTAGTTCAATTCAAAACATCATCGCATCACATCTCAACAGTAATACAATTTATACATCAATCAATCATGGGTTCACTAAGGTCTAAAACTAAAATACTAACATCTTCACCGTGGGACAAGCAGCCTAACATCACACTGAATATAACAAGTATGGACACACGTACATCAGAAACAATCATTTTCAAGTTCAACAAATCACAATTGAATGGAATAATTTGTTACACTACTCTAGTCTAGTCAGAATACATTAACATGCTTTTTTTTTTGTTTTTACCTCACACTTGTTTATATAACCCGTGCGAGTTCATATTTTAGAATAGTATTTTTAACACTATGCTTCCACATGGATATTGGATAACTTGCAAACACCGCTATAACATGGAATATATTAACAAACGCTTTTTCAGTTCACATTTTATTAGTAATGTTAGTGATGCATATACCAGAATTAATTTGCAATACATTTTTATTAATCAAAAGGAATAGTAATGAGCCTTGAAAGCAAATAATAAAGACACAATGAAATCTAGAATTAGCTTTATTCAACTGAACCCAAAAGTCTCCCTTTTAGCAGTCAAGTCACACACGAACACACTCTCCCCACACCCGAGCACTTCGAAGCCCCCTCCCTTTACCACGCCATAACGCCCTCCCTACTTTCCGCAGCAACTGGACACTGCCGAGAACAAGGAGCGCCTCATCAAGGAGTACCAGGACCGCCTCCAGAGCAAGATCAACCCCAAGAACCTCCGCAAATACGTCGAGGCTTTCCTCAAGTGAGTAGAGGGGTTGTGGTGCTGAGGGTTGTGAGGTTTCGAGCTTGGGGGGGGGAAGAGGAGGGTTTGGGGGTTCTGTATCGCTTTGCTGATTTTGGGTCCTGTATTTTTAGGTGGGGCGAAGGGGGTTAAATTTGAGTTGCAGGATGGAGTTTGGGTGTAAGATTCATAAAACGCCGGTTTAATGTGACTTCCAGAATCTGTGTCAAACATGCTTTCAACATCTGAATCAATATTTAGTCTTGCTCTTTGATATTTAATAGCTTTTGTGTCTGTTTATAAAAAAAATTAATCTTGTATTCATATATCATTCTTCCCAACAGTAATTATTCTTTTTACGTAGGGTGTACGTCATCAGATATATAAACACAATGTCAATCCAAAATGCCAATTTCTCGCAGGCGCTCCGACCTGTCTGGAAAGCTGGAGTCCAAGCTGACCGTGGAGACGCTCCTGGTGACCGGCGCCAAGGCGTCCCACGTCCACACCGTGCACACGATGCACCAGAGCTGCAACAAGCAGAAGGCCTCCCTTCTCAAGATCGACGACGTCGGAGATGTCCTGGCGGAATGCGTAAGTTCGATCGACCGCAGTTTTCGTCTTGGAATTCCTGAAGTAGAATGTTGACTTTTCCGAATAGCTTTGTAGTCCAAGTATGAGAGATCGGGAGTAGTGCTGACAGGAGGAGCTATGCTTGAAAGACTGATTAGTTCTCTACTGACATTTTTTGTCAAAACGGCAGTCCTTTGCCTTCGCTCATGACCCTGACCTCTGCTCCACAGCCTGAGAAGTTCGCGCAGTCGCTGCAGCTGTTCTGCAAGGGCCTGGGCGTGCTGACGTCGCTGCCCCTGAGCGGCGTGGAGCGCCAGCGCACCTTCAGCGGCTCCTCCACCGACGAGGAGAACCGCCCCCGCCGCCAGCGCACCATGAGCATGGAGGAGTACGACACCCCCAACCTGAGGCGCTTCTCGTTCTCGTCCTCCCCCCAGACGGCCGCCAACTAAACGCAGTCCGGCGCAGCCGCGGCAGAGAGAGAGAGAGAGAGCTAGTTATAAATACGTTTTGGTAGAGATGGTCCTAACGTGAATGAGCTAGTTGTTATTTTCTTCTTGTTTTATGTTAGTACAGTAAACACATGCACGCATGCACAGACATACACGGTTAAAAGCTACACATCGGTTGAAGCAGATGAGTCACGGTTACGAAAGGAATCTTATGGATGAAGGAACGAAAAGACTTGTACATCTGCGTTGTGATGCCACACTTCAAAGACCATCTAACACGGACAACACTGAGAGGCCTTCTATATATTCTGCCTACAAGGTCTTGACCCAACACCCTGCACCTGTTCCTCCTGCGCATGCGTGCGCCAGGCCCCGCGGCGCCTCCTGTCGCGGGGCGCCCCCCTCCCTCGGCGGGGGCGGGGCTGGCACTGGCACTCGGGGAACAGCTGCGTTCGGGGGCGCTGTGCGAGTGCACCCGGAGGGGGGGGAGGGCCACCGTCATCCTGGGAGCCAAGATCAACGACTATCGACGCGGATGTCTCAAGGAAAGAATTAAAAGAGAAAAAACAATAAGAGCAGGATGTATAATAATTTCATATAGGGAAAAAATACTGAGACTGATTTCAAGGTGTTAATTTTGTTAGCATTCACTAGTGATAAACACAGGCCTTGTGTATCACTTTCCACCGACTGCCGAGGGCGAGGGTAGCGGGCTTGAGTCTGATTAGAGTCCCAAGAGATTAGCCAATCATCCCAATCAGCTTTCTTTCAGTCAGTTAGTATGTTAGCGTCTTGCACTATGCTTCAGTACAGTATGTCAAAAAGGAAAACAAAACAAAAAAAGAGATCGAACTACTGTAGACTAGTGATAGTCAACTCTGAAGCTCAACATGGCATGATGGTTACTATGTATATATATACTAAAGGCAATAGAATTATTGTACTAGCTGAGTTTGATACCAAATAAGGGCACGTTTGTCAGAACTTTAGGACATTCATTTAGTAAGTTTTTTTTCCTCCACACTAACAGGATCCAGGGGGGGGGGACAACTGCACTGTCATGTCACTCACGTCATCACCTCAGCCAGCTTGTCATCCTCTTGCTTCGAAAAACTAGGGTTTTTATCCATGGGTAATATCG